TCCATAAACACCAAGTACACATCTGAGCATACATTAGGATTTTTCGGACATAGGATATCATGGCAAAAATGTAATAAAAACTCTTAAATATATCGTCGTCTTAGTATAAAAACTCCAATGGTTAGCATCACATCTAAATGACCTTAATAGCCCTAAAGTATGATCTTAAAGAACAGTTTATAATGAATATTTATCAAATATATCTGCTTCAAAATATGTAATAAGCAAGGTGTCGAACGTTAAGTGAGTATAACATTTAGTTGCTAGAAGATTCCCACAAATAAATCGGTGCTAAACCGTTCACTTTCCCCCTCGATGTGTGCTATTGTCTAGCCTTGAACTAACGGAACCGCTGAATTATAAAATATTAACTTTGATCGCACTTAAATTAAACACAATTAATGAATTAATAAATGAAAAATATACCATAATTATAACATATTACAAATTCGATCCATTTCTAAAGCCAAAATATTGGGTACTTAAGTTAGCCGAATATGGATAGCATACGCTTGCACATGACTCAAAAGACATGGGTATGGGATAGAAAAGCACTTGAATAGGCATCATCTCTTTATGAATTATGAAAATGCAATGAATAATGAAATTGTGTTCTCCCCAATAAGTAGTTTATATGAAGTTCCATTCAACTTGGTTCAACAAGAAGGGTGTTAGAAGCACAACATAACCGACAAAATTATCCCATGCTCTAATAAATGGGCAGGCTTTCACCTGCCTCAATTACTCCAGACTGATTTCTAACCCTGAGGAAATAATCAAAACTATCAGTCCGGGATGCAGAAAAGTACAATAAAATCAGCAAGGATACCATACCAATTAATTTTAACCAATAGCTGAATTACTTTGTTTGTTATTTTTGGAATTTTTCATTAATATTTAATAATTCAGCAGCCATTCTATTTGTAGTCAATTCAAGAGACAATTCTTGTAATCAAGCAATACTTTGTTGCTGTGAGTCAAGTATCGATGCAGCTATGACTAAAATGTATAGAATTTCGCATAACGAAAGAATTCTGCACAATTAAAGGTGATGTAGCCATGATGGAGGACTTTATGTTAAGGTGCAATTACTGAACTCCTATTTTTATCTACTTTAATCATTTTGCATTACTTAAAACGATAAAAGCTTACTCACCTGGCTCCCTGAATAGACGAAGAAATTTGAGAAACATCATTGGATTCCGGTAGCCTCAAGAAAGGCGCCACATACACTCCATCTCTCTTCTGTACGAGATCGTCATTCGGTACATTATCAGTCTCCACAGAACTCTGGCTTACAGCTCTGCTAAGTTCATGTGGTACCACAATCACGTGACCTGGGCCAAAGCGAGGCGTAGCAGGAGCAGTCGATGCATGCAGAGGTGAATTCAGTTTTGCTAGCGGAGGCAACGTAGACAAAAGAAATAGTCGACTTATCTGAAGGAGTCAGATTAGGGAAAAACTTTTACCGTTTCACACAATCCTCAGTTAGATTTTTCATCAATCCCAAAAAAAAGAAGCTCTGATCGAGCGAGATTTGTGTGAGGCAGATGAAATAAGGTATCTATCAGCCTTACCATGTGAAGATAGATATTTAGTAATATATTGTGAAAGGACTTTACGAATTCGTGATTTGGTCTCAAAGGAACGCTTGTTAAATTTGGCGAATAAGTCCTGCTAGTCCGATGAAGCTGTGCCAAGTTTTCGTTGATTTCTGTGGCAGACATCATCACAGCAGGAGTCCATACTTTACGAAATAGAGACAAATATATTAAACCAAGAGAAAAGGTGACCGGCTGCGACCCTACTCGCTTGGGTTGGCCACTTCAGACTTACTCTGCATGCTTGCAAATGAGTGAATTTACTTCACGGACCGGAAGTTTGTTCGGTGGCAGCTGTTTCCTTACGATGTCCAAATGTTGAATCATGTTTTGTCTATTTTGTGTACATAATGTTGATGTTGTGAGAAGTGTGAAGTTAGACTTAAGGCTAATCCACTTTCTGCACTCCCTCTCCTCAAGCCTATCAAACAGCCACAAATTGCTCTTACTCCGTTTTTATCAAATTTTTATGGACTCTCTTATCTTCTGCTTTGATATGAAGTAATGGTAACCCGCAAAACGTTGTCTTGGGCCGGTCTATTGAGTGTTCTGAATTAAACATGAATTCACGAGCTAAGATTTGTGTACAGATGGACCGCATAGTCTATTCGGAATGGGTCGACATTAGCGGAAAATTCTCAAAATAAAGGAAGTACTAAAGAAATGGTGTTAATTTCTCTTTATACATTGTTTTCATGCTCCACATGCTGAGTGGATAACTCAACTTATTCGCAGACTGCAAAGAAAGCAAAATCAGAAAACGAGTAGAATGATCAAATTATCTCGCCTCATCATGTATGAAAACTGGGTTCCACACAATCCATGAATAGATTCATGTTGGAGTACCTTTAATTTCGTTTGAAGAGGCAAGTGGAAGGGATTCATAAGTTGATTCCACCGGAGGATGTGGTTGTAGATTTATGCGAATAGGTGGTAGTGTGAATAATAAGGGAAACGTGGTGCATAAAGCATCACGATTTATATGCAACAGGATAAAGCAAATCTCCGAGACGTGGAAGGTTGCAGTGAAGAATTTCTATGAAATTGTTATCTCAGTCGACGAGCAAGAGATGGAACGTGGGGATTTGCTGGTAAGTTTTCATGTTGAGTCTATGTACACTCACATTTCTGTAGATGTTGCCATACAGGCCCTGCAATCCACACTAGACCAACATGCGGAGATTTTAATGAACACAAGGTTATGATACTGACCAACCTAACGATGTACTGTACATATTTTAACTTTATTGGTAGACCGTACCAACATACACGAGGTTTAGCCATGGAAACGGGTTTGACACCAATTTTAGCCAATAATTACTTTGAGGAACGTTTCATTCAGAGGCACTTTTAGGTACTAAATTATTAGTTCGCTACATGGACGACTACTTTGCTGGTTGACAACATGGAAAAGAAAATTTGTATAATTTTCATGGCTTTATGGCCAGAATCGACGCGAAGACGAAATTCATCATCGAGTTGGAAAAGAATGGGAGTTTACCTTTTCTTTATGTCTTACTTAGCAAAAAGAGGACCAGATTAGATCGAGATGTGTGTAGAAAACCGACAAATGCAGGCTTCCTTTTGAATGGTCTGGCAGATGTTAAACATCGGGACCAGGAACTGATAATATATGCGGTAAAATTGCAGGATCAAAGGCATAAGTGTTTTAGGGGAGGATGCCCCCATTTCACGCTTCATTTGACGCCATTTCTCTCGTCATCCGCAGCCACTTTGCTCAACTTAAAAGCCAGTATAGCGGCAAAGCATAGGACATCCACCCAAAACATGAGATGCATGAGTGGACCAAGTTGGAGTACAAGAAGGAAGTAGGTTCGAGGCCGGTCACTTTTGTTGTTTAAAAGATCGGCTACGTTGCAGCCAGACAACTTTGCTCTTAGTTTACTCTATTTTCTCTATTCGGTAAAACATGATTATTGCTCTGATGATGTCTGTCGCGATGAGACAGACGAAAGCTTGGTACAGGCTCTTTGGTGTCACAGGACGATGAGCCGAGTCTCACCTACGCGGAAATGTTACTTCGGTTTCCGGTGAGATCATATGAAGAATTAGTTCCGACCAAACTTTTCTTCGAAATGTAAAGCCATGTCACAAAAGAACTACACAAAGCCACAATTTCGATCCTATTCCTTCAAATTTAACCATGATGCTAATTGCATGGACGTACGCTAATCATTTACTTCGGATGAAAATCTAATGCATTAACAGATGCTCATTAAAACTATATTACGATGTAGATACGAAGAGAAACTGGGTTTCGATGAATCTCCTGAGATAACATTGTTAGAGGGACCTTC